TAATATGGCATTCATAATTTCCTGTAGAAAGACTCAGTTAAACAAGCTTTCTCCAGGAAGATAATCACAGGTTGGGGGTGGGGGTGGGTGTGTAAAACACAATTCATTCCTCCTTCTGGGGATTGCCCAAAGAGCTGCATTGTAGCCTCTCCATCTCTACTGTTCCAGCCTACAGAGTGAAGTAGCATCTGCAATTGCCTATACCCGGTATGCCAGTGATTGCAGCTATTCAGTTGCCAGATGTGTGGATCAAATGGCCTCCTTTGCTCCATCCCAATGGCCCTTCTCTGCTTATTTGCTTCTACCAGTGTAGAACCTCCTTCAGCAATATGCAGGGTGTGCAGAGACTTCCTGTACAGATGCTGCATTTGGGCCCTTCTCCATACACCAGTGCTGTAGGATTTAGTTAGCATGAAGGGCCTTGAATAAGCCTTCTATTTTAGGGTGAATTTCACTCACAATACACAAAACAGTCTTGACATGGAAATAGGTAACCCTGGGTAGCCTATCAAATGGAATGTACAGGGGAGTCGATCCTGCAAGAGGCAGGGCTTCCTTCTTACCTCACTCTTACTTCAGGAGGAATTGAGGAGACTTGGTAACTTGTAAGAATGCAGGGCAGGCACCTCAGTAGGACTGAGCCTTAAAGAAACTATTGCCAGTAACCGATATCTTTCCAGATGCATTTATCTACCCTCATTTTAGAGATATTTTTGAGAACGTGTCTCAAGTGTTCTTAAGTCACCTGTGGTGTTTCTCAGGATGCAGATTAAAACTAAGTAAAAAATTTTTACTCCCTCTTTCTCTCTGATTTTATTGCAGTTGTTGAAATTTTGGACCCAATAAAAGATTATTACAACCAACGTGGTATTTTGGGCAGTAAGACCAGAGTGTGACAGTATAAAAATCTTTTGATATAATTAAACAAGTTTAAAAAAAACAGCAAAACTAAGAGCTCAGGCAATCACCAACAAAAATTAGCAATTTAATTATTTTTATATAATTTTGAAATTCCAAAATAGTTGCTCCATACATCTGCAGATTTGTAGCACTGTGTAAAGAATGGAATATTGAACTCTCTGTTTACAAACCCAGAGACATGGGGATTAAGATTTCATTTCAAGACTAATGGTCATCTGACTATGGATCAGAGCAAAGGAATGGAATTTTCAGATTGTTGATTTGTTGCGTAAAACCAGTTTTCCGAAAGGCACAGATGTGAATGATCATCTCAGATTACTCACTAAATTGAAATAAACCGTATCTTTAGATGCCAACATTTAAAGAGTATTTAAAACAATATGAGGAATTCTGTCTGGCTGAAATTCACATAGGTGTGAAGTGTCAGCTCAAGGTACCCTCTACACCAATCCAGCCAAGCTCTTAAGCCTATCCTTAACTTTAAGCATATGAAGTAGCCCACTGAAGTCTTGCATGCTTAAAGTAAAGGATGGGCTTAAGTGCTGTGCTAGATCAGGGCCTTACTCACATGATAGGGCAATGCAAAGGTGAGTCACTGGCAGAGAGCCCATGCAGGTTTCTCTATGCTAGAGTGGATGGTGGTGATGGATGTAGGAAAAGAAGAACCCGGCAGAGCCCATACCATCTAGGTCAGAACCTGGAATTCCTATTCCAATGAAAATTCCAAAATTTCAAAATAATTTGTTCCACATCAGAATGAAAACTCACAATTTTGAAATTTCCCATGGAATGGGAGGAGTCTGCAATTTTCATTTAAAAAAAACAGAACAACATTCCCCTTTTGGCATCTTCCAAATGAAATTGATGAGGATCCCAGCCCTGCCTGGCAGGTTACCAAGAAACCAGAAGGTCTGACAGTCTTGGCTTGACCTGGGGCTCCCAGGGCTTTTAGGGCTCTGCAGAGGCTCATGAGATAAGGAAGTTGGTAAGAAACCAGGCAGGTCCCTTTGCCTGGTTTCCAGTAGAAGATTCAATAAAATCAAGACGTTCTTGCAAAATGTTTTGATTTTGACAAATCAATATTTTCCAATAGACGAGACATGTCACTGGAAATTTTCTGACCAGGTCCAAAAACTGTCTATATTTCTGAGAAGTCAGTACCCATCACATCCCACACAAGTAGTATGGAGGGACTGCAGCCACTATCCATCCCCATAGTCTAGAGCAACAACTGCCTCAGGGGAGCAGAAATGCAAATCTTTGCCTTAGCCTTGGTTTGTGGGAATGGATTTTGCCACATCAGCTCCACTGCACTTCATCCATGTAAAACCCAGTTATCTGGTCTTTATGCAGGTAAAGTAAATTTCACCCCAAGTGACAGGTTTTCATGATGTTTTGGACAGACCTTTTAAATTAAATGTGTACTCCCTCCCCCACCCCTTCTCTCTCTCATATTAAATTATCTTCTGTCCTCCACATAAAACCACAATGCAATTAAATATTAATTTCAGACTTATTTTAGCTGTTAATCATGTAGTCAATTAAAATGTTATGCTAGAGAATGGCTGTAAATAAAAAAAATAGCTTTGCTACCTCTGATTTCCATGTGCCGTTAATCGTGTAGAATGGCTAGAGACTGAAAGACAAAATAAAAGTTCCATTTAGAAAAGCTATTCCAAGGCCTTACAAGGTAGTTTGCTTTAATTGCAAAGAAGAGCTTAAACAATATGATCCCTACCCACAGCAAAGTACTTGAAAAACACATTAAAAGTATATGCATTAGCTGTATTGTAAATAATGATGACATCTTGGTGTTCAGTAGCAAAACCGACAGCTGCTGTTTTGCCTAACAATGGGTAAAAGGTAGGACCTGGGTCTCTGTACAAAGCCTGAATAAATTTGCACAGAAATCCATCACAAGGGCTAGGGAGAAGAAAATCTACCCTCAACCCATATTCAGGTTGTGGGGTGCTTTTACAGTTAGATTATGGCCACTGCTATGGCTTGCTGAGCTCTCCTTTTTATGGGGCTTTTGGCCAGTGCACAAGTTCTGCTCATGGAGCCTCTGTCTTCACCACACACCCTCTCTCCCCTGGCCTGTTGCTGCCTCACAGAGGGACACTCCTTGGAACTTGGCACTGTATTGCACAAGGGAACTGTGGAGTCCTCATGTATGGTCTTTCCTTAGGGTTGAGTGAATAATTCATGGCATGAGCTCCTGGCATGTTTTGGGTTTCGGTTTTCATTGTTTCAGGCTTTCATTTTATTTCCCCCCTTTGTTTCCTCCTCCTTCTCCTGCCATTATCCTCCTTTTCAGTGGCAAAATGAAAGAAGAGGGAGGAGGGGAGGATGGAGTCTAGCCCTTTGCTAGGTATCATTAGCTGCAACAAGGACCAGGTACAATAATATGTCCAAAACACATCCTACCATGGGGAAGAGCCATCCCTTATAAAACACCTACTGTTGTGTGTTTCCATTGTTGTTTTTTTTCTGCACACATTTTCTTCTGTTTCTTCATCATTTCTAAATCCTGCCATCTCTCCTTTTTCTTTTCTAGTTTCTTGTCTAAATCTTCTATTTTTTTCCTTTGATAATTTCTGTATCTTCTTCCCTTTTATTCCTGCTCTCCTGGCTCATTTTATAATGAGATTCACCCCTACTTACTTGCAATAGTTTATCCTCTCAAGCGGCTGAAGCAATGTATGTTTTGTTTTCCCTGACCTTGACCGACTACCTGCAGTAGCTGGGAGAGTAAAAAATCCCCTGCAGCTCATTTTGTTGTGTACAGATCTTTTACCAGCTCCTCGGTCTTCTTTTTTCTGGCCATTGTGATAGACTTCATTACTGACACTCGCTACAGTGGCAAGAGGTGATTATTGTGACTGGGATACTCAGGAATGACCATGCTAAATTGACTTTGCACTTCTCGTATCAAACATGGTTGTTCTCTAGGCCTTTCCAGTTCCCACCTGCATGTATTTCCCTTGATGTCTCCTTACTCAGCATGCCTCCAGACAGTTTTTTCCCATCTCTCTCAAAGTGGCATGTATTTCCCTTTCAAAACCTAAAGGAATGGCATGAAAACAAATCTCAGGGAGAAGTTAGTGTTTGTAAGATACATCATCTGTTTTCCTAGAATCACTTCTCTTTCTCCTGGTATATGTGGATTTTTCAGTTAGAAGGGTCAGGCAGCAACAGTCCCACCATCTCATATTCTCATGGGTCAAATGTTTTCATCCCCTGCCTGTTGTTCTTAATTACAGGCCTTTTTGACTCTCCCACTTGTTTTCTGACCTTCCCAGGTCACTGGATAACCTAGATCACTGGTCCCCAACCTTTTTGTGGCCAGTAGCACATTCATGTTTTCAGAAGAGTGTGGTAGGTGCCAACAATTTTTCAAGGCTTATTTTGTATTTGTACATTAAATAATATGAAAAACATCATATGTAATATTACATAATATATGAATCCGAGAGAAGAGAGAAGCCGGAGAGAAGCCGTGAGGACAGAGAACACTGGTGCCTGCAGTCTGCAGCCCTGGAGTTCTCTGTCCCCGGCAGGCACGGGGCCGCAGCTTCTCTCCCCTGCTGGGCACTAGGCGGGTGCACATAAATGCCCCAGCGGGCGCCATGGCACCCGCGGGCACCGCATTGGAGACCACTGACCTAGATGGACACAGAAAGAGGAAGGCCACAGATTTGGAGTCCTTGCCTCATTTGAGCCCTAAGAATTATTCTAATAGTCATCTAATCACAGAGCTGTTATGCTGTATTAATTTCTTTCCATATGTGCTGCCAGCTTCTTTCATTGCTATGTGTAGGGGCTGTTAATAATAATTCACATTCCCAAATCTACAACAGCATGGTAGTATGCAAAATGGCATCACATCAGATTTAGAAATAACCTTGCTAAATCCTTTTCATGCATTAACAATTATATAAATGTGGGAGGCTGGAAATAGTCTTCAAATGTTTTTGACTGTGAAAATAAATTAATATTACAATAATACCACAAATATTTTAATGAAAGTAATTTTTCTATATGCCAGTTCATTATTGCTTTTTGTGTTCTTTCCACAGAGGTTATGTCTTTGACTATGATTACTACAGAGATGATTTCTACAATCGGTACGTGTGGTTTTATTTCTACAGATTCTACACAGTTTTCACTATTTATTTATAATGCTGTCACATAATTAACTTAGAGAGAGATTTGGTTTTAATTTTACACAATATTCATATTTAATTATCTTTATTGCATATTCGAGAAAAAACTCTCTAGGAATAGACTCAATTTAGGATTAGATTTACAGAAAACCTTGAAGATTCATCCCCCCACTCCCCGTGTCCTTCCATTTCTTCATGTTAAGCAGTTCTGTTGGTGTCCTAACTCTCTGAAGGCCCTTTTTTGAGCTTTTCCTTTACTGAAAAATTAAAGGATATAAAAAGAAGTCTGTGGTTTCTTATCCCTGCAGAGTTCTTCGCCAGTATGATTTCACTGAGATACATTGTAGATGTGGAAGTTCTTTAAGTATGAGGGTTTGAGAAAGAGTTTGTCTTGATGTTTATATTTGTGAAATGTATCCTGAGAAATGTGTTCTTTCAGGCCTCTCTTTAGAAAGCTGAATAGATCTGCTATCATGTAATCATTTGCATACACTATTTTGCAGCAATTGCAGCAGTATAGATTCAGATAGGGTATGCAGAACAGAGAAGGGCCATTTTTTTTACAGCACCTTGCACGAAGAACAAACCATCAGTGCGTGGGGAGGGCTTAATGCCACCTTTGTTCTCTCCAAATTCTTTCTTGATTCAGGGTCTTCCCATCCCTTGGTGTGAATCAGAGCAGCACAAAGTGTTACTCCAAGTGCTACCTAGAATAGCTGCCTGTTGGACACTCTGGGACCCACAATAGCCAGAGCACAGTGCTCTTTCACCACACCTCTTCCCTCCTATTTATAAGCCTGCCTCCAGCACACACCTACACTGGGGCTGCAGAGGAGGGTAGCTTGGGGCTGCTCTGCCAGCACTACGCCACCAGGGGAACCCCTTTATTCAGGGCAAAGGGAAAATAGCAGGGACAGAATTGGGCCCTGAAATTTTAGGGAGAAAACAAATGAAGGGATAATGTGTCCTGTAAATCTATACTTGGAAGCATTTTAGAAACAAAGAAATTTTCATCCAATAGGCCACCTGTGCGGGTTTCTTTGTGGCCATTTGTTTTGCATCTCTTACTCCAGTGTTTCCCAAACTTGGGACGCCACTTGTGTAGGGAAAGCCCCTGGTGGGCCGGGCCGGTTTGTTTACCTGCCGCGTCTGCAGGTCTGGCCGATCACGGCTCCCATTGGCCATGTTTCGCTGCTCCAGGCCAATTGGAGCTGCTGGAAGCAGTGGCCAGTACGTCCCCCGGCCCACACCACTTCCAGCAGCTCCCATTGGCCTGGAGCAGCGAACCGCGGCCTATGGGAGCCGTGATTGGCCAGACCTGCGGATGGGGAAGGCAAACAAACCGGTCCAGCCCGCCAGGGGCTTTCCCTACACAAGCGGCGTCCCAAGTTTGGGAAACACTGCCTTACTCAATGACCCTAACATCTCGGACAGCACTGAAGATGGTGGACACCTGGAACTGCGAGCCAGCACCTCATCATACTCCCAGTTTATCAGACCCTGGTAATAGTATAGTGACCTTGTCCTAAGAGAGGTTAATTTGTGGTGTTTTCACATTCCCTGGTTTCTTGCTCTGAATTTCTTGATCAGAGTTGCTATGATGGTACAAGCATTTCAAAAAGTACTTTTTTGTGACTGATTCTCCCCAAGCATGAAAGTTATGTGAGTTCTGCAACTCTACAACCTACCTTAGGATTCAGTAAACTAAGTGTAATAAAAGGGCAACAAGAATGATTGGAGATGAGAAATAAATTACATATGAAGACAGATTGAAAAGATTGGGAGTGTGTAATTTAGAGAAAAGATGAATGAGAGGGAATTTGATAGAGGTATACAAAATAGCGAGTAGTAGAGAGAGAAAGCATGGTGTAGAACTGGGCACTCCTATTTACTATTTCTCTTAATACAAGAGCAAGAAGACAGTCTATGGTCTTGCCTGTGGTGGTTGGAGTTAGCTTCCTAACACAACCAGGCTATTAGCCACTAAAGTGCTCTCCTCTGGGCTATTCCAATTCTGTCTTTGCCTTGCAGGTTAACAACAGGTGTACCTAAGTCCCTTTGATTCATTCCCCTATGGTATCCAGTCCCTGACACTGGTTACTCACAGAAATCCTAGATCCTTTGCCCCCAGAGGAGCAGTGTACTCCAGTTTAAACTTAAATCCCACTCTGTATAACAATCACCACTTTTAATAAAAGGCATATTTAAAAAAGAATGGAGAGCTAACTAGAAACAAGAGAGAGTGGTGGAAACAAATGGTTATGAAACAAAACAAAATCATAAAAAGCAAAGCTGGGTCTACTCTTATTAGGAGTTGCCTTTCTTATCTAATAATAGGTTTTCCACTCCAAAGTTCAGTCTGTTACAGAGATGGCCAGCTTCACAGGAGCCAGGATCCAATTTTTCATGAGAACATCTCTGCTCCCCAAGATGTGTCCTCAGTGAAAGGATACAGGGTGCCTTTCTCCACCCTATGTGATACCAAAAGAGTCTTTTACCTTTATTCATAGGGTGATTGTATGTTGTAATGTTCCTTCATTTACCTTCAAGGGTTTCAATTGTTTGTGGTTGTCTCTGATGGTTTTCCATTCATAGTCCTGGGATTGAGCAAGGCTAGACAACTGAGCCTTCCATTACATCACCGGCTAACCAGGACAGGGCAACTCCCTTGACTGGGCCATCAGCTAGACATATGATCTTCTGGTGACTATCTTTTACTCCAAGTCCATAAAGCATATGTTCAATATAATTACATTCTTCCTTAAATATTACTCATACATACCTGTCACAATGATTATGAATCTTGACAAGTTAGCTTTCTGTAGACCTTAATCTTTATGGATAAATGTCCTGCAAGACATGTTTGATGTAGTGAGTTTGTCAGGTCTGAGGTGAGAGTTGTTTGCAAAGAACGGGGGGATCCTTTGCCAAAGAGCCTTTGTGTCACATCCAAATACTAACTGTCGGAGGTTAGGTAGAAAATTCCAATGTGGACAGGTAATTCTAGAGTGGCCCACTACAGGATATCTTACACCTCTGTTGAAACTTTGTGTACTGGTCACCATCTGTCAGGATAGTGGTGCACTGGTTGGATCCAATATGGCAAATCATATGATTTATAATTAGGGCCCTACCAATTTCATGGCGGTGAAAAACGTGTCACAGACCATGAAATAAGCCCTTCCCCATGAAATCTGATCTCTTCCTTGCTGTTGGGAGTGCCCCAGCCAGGGGGCTCCTAGCTGCAAGTCCTGGCTGGGCTGAGAAGGGAGAGGACTTGTCCTCCCCCTGCTCTTGCACGGCCGCTCTCACTTTCTGGGGGAGATCAGACCCACCTTGGAGTGCCTCTCCCTGCTGCAGGAAGCTCCAGCCCTGGAGGTTCTGCAGCTGGAGGAGACTTGTGGAGGTGAGTCCGATATCCCCCTGCTGCTGGGAGCACCCCAGTCAGGGGACTCCTAGCTGTGAGTCTCTGCTGGTCTAGGGAGGGAGATAAGACCCACCTCTGAGTGCCTCCCCCTGCTGCAGGAAGCTCCCTGCCCAGGGGGAGATCAGACCCACTTCTGCGTATCTTTTGGGTTAGGACCCCCATGGTTACAACACCATGAAATTTCAGATGTAAACAGCTGAAAACATTAAATTGACCAATTTTAAAACTGTCTGGCCATGAAACAGATCTAAATGGACTGTGAATTTGGTAGGGCTCTATTGATAATAAAGCATACCATATGTACAGTAGAAAATAGTGTTGAACTGTGATGAACTGAATACACAGTTAGTTAACTGTGTTGGGAATTAAATATTCACCTTAAATTGAAGGACTCCAGCCATGGAACCATTGTTCCATGTGGCACAGGGTTGTAATAAGAGAATATGACACAGCAGGATTAAATGACTGTGGAATTAAGACTTAGACAAGTAAAGGCACTCTGGTCCTGTGGATTAGGCATGTATCAGGCAGAACATACATTAGGAGACCTGAGTTCTAATTCTGGGTCTGGTTCTGATATTGATATTTGACCCTGAGCAAGTCCTTATTCTGTCGGTGCCTCTATTTCCACATATTTACCTAGCTCAGTCACAGGAGATGTGTCAGGGTTGCGCTAAAAATAAAGCAATATATAAATATTACTGTTAGATATCACTAAAGTTTGAAGGGACTATAGAGCAGCACTGCACACAGAGAGCAAATTTCTTTCCCTGCTATTTCTGCACAGAGGACTGGAAACTGAGTTTTTATTAGCATATTTTCCTCCTCAATGTTCCGTCAGATTTGGTGTTCACCTCCCGGAGGAACAGGAAGGAACTTCAGCACAAAGAACCTATATATATGCTTCAGAGTAGCAGCCATGTTAGTCTGTATCCGCAAAAAGAAGAACAGGAGTACTTGTGGCACCTTAGAGACTAACAAATTTATTAGAGCATAAGCTTGGTGGGCTGTAGTCCACGAAAGCTTATGCTCTAATAATTTGTTAGTCTCTAAGGTGCCACAAGTACTCCTGTTCTTCTTTTTGCGGATCCAGACTAACATGGCTGCCACTCCTGAGCCTATATATCGGTTCTTTTTGCTGAAGGTCCTTCCTGTTTCTCCGGGAGGTGG